GCCGCCGCCGCCGCCGCCGCCGCCTCGCCCCGCTCGGGCCCGTGGCCGGGCGCGCATTGTCCGCGGGTGCGAGGAGCCGGGCTGCGTACTCGGACGGCCGCGGGCCCGAGACACCGTATTGGGCGGGCGGGGAGCGGTGCGCCGCGAGAGCCGGGGGTCCCTAGAGTAGGGACAGGCGCGCGGGCCGGAGCCCGGCTGCAGAAGGCTCGGGGCTGGGCGCTCCGCGGGCGAGGCTGGGAACCGCGGGCCGGCTCTACGTACGTCTGCTCCCGGCTTCGGGCGCCCTTTGGGCGGGCGCTTGCTCGGCGCCACCGGCCTGGAGCTGCCTTATGGGCGTCTGCGAGCAGGGGCAGCCCCAGCCTCAGGCCGGGTGACCCAAACGGAGGAGCCGCGGCCGCGTCCCGCCCGGCCTGGGGAGCCAGGGCGAGTGGGTTTTTGCAGGCGGATCGGTGGGGACAGCGGAACTCAAGCTCTGGGTTAGGGCAACCCGGCTCCCAGGGGCCACGCTCAGAGACCCTCGCCCCGGGAGGAGCGATTTGTAGGGTAACTGGCTTTCCGCGGATTGTTGGGAGTCTTTGGCGAGGTCGGGGAGGCGTAGGGGCCCAAGGCGAGGTTTGGGAATCGGGAGCCCTCCTGGCCCGAGAACAAGGACACGAGTTCGTAAAAGGGGGGACGGAAAGCGCCCAAGAGCCGTGAGCTGGGGGGATGGGGCAGAGTCCCGAGTCTGCCGCGCAAAGTTTGCGTTTCTTTCGGGTTGGGCGAGCGGGGCTCTCCTGACTCCCGAACCCGAGGAAGAAACGAGCGAAGCGGGAGGTCTTTTCCGGGGGCTCTGGGCGAGAGAGCCCAGGGTTCTTGAGCGGTGGGGACACGGGCTAGGAATGGCAGTGGGGCGGGGTGGGGGGGGGGTGTTGGCTGGTGGTGGTGCAGCAGCCCTGAATTAGGGCTGGGCTTTAGGGCCACGCTAGAGTTTGGGTTGTAGGATTCAGGCTGTTTTCAGAAGCGGGACTGAAGGGCTGCTGAGTAGCTTAGGGATCGGATCTACACCCCTGGCCAGAGCAGGGGGCTGGAGGTAGGAGCTGGGGGCCTGGGGTTACATCTGAAGCTGGACTCGGCGGAACGGGTGATGTTTTTAGTATTTTGCCACGGGATCGCGGCTTTTTATTGGGATTGAGGTTATTGAAATTTGGGGAGGGTCGCGCGAGCGGGTCCCCATGCTCCGTGGGCGGAAAAACATCTAGGCAGGCGATGAGAGTAGTTGATCCGGGCCATGGCAGGCAAGCCCCGAATTTCTGCTGCTTCTCCCCGAAAGTGGATCTGGAGCAGAGGACTTGAGGCGCGCAGGACCCGGTGCTAGGAGAAAGATTCCAGGAAGCGGACAAATCGAAGAGACGTTCTGGGTGAAGCGACAGGGCAGCCTCGCAGGACTCGGAGTGGATCCGAGGACCGACCTTGGTGGTTCTGCGGGCTCAGCGCGGCGGGCGGGTACGGGTGGCCCGCAGGGACCGAGGCCTGCTCAGGGGGCTCTAGCAGCGCGGTGCGGGCTCGAACTCCAGCGTCCTGGTCGGAGCCGCCGGCTCTAGACCCGCAGGCGCTGCCTGTGCTTCCTTCGCCGGCGGTGCGGCCGGGAGCCCACAAGCCAGGCGGCCTGTGTGCTCAGCCTGGGAGACGGGGGCGCTCTGGGTCTTCTGCCCTCACCCCCACTTGTCTCGGGACTTCTCTAGCGTGTTGACTTTTCGGATTTCGAGTGCTCTCCAACTGGTGGAAGCCAAAAGCTTCACATTTTAGGCAGATCTAGGCGACCCTCCCTTCTCCAAAGCTGAGGAAATGATGGTGTTCAAACACACGATATACTACGCAAAGCCCTAGCCCCTAACCCTCTCTCCTACCTTGTCATTCCGGCCTTCCAGAGGCCTCACAGCCTTAGAGAGAGGGAAGGGCGCCTCCTGTCCCTGGACTCGTGGTCTCCCACTGGAGCTGCACCCCGCAACCACACTCTATCCTCATGGCTCAGGCCCAGCTCGGCTGGTGGGAGAGAAGTCCCGACCGGGGAGGGAGGCTATCCCTCTGGCCAACTAGGGAAGCGAAGTGTAGAAGGGTCTGTTCGAGAGGAAGATTTGAAATTTCCTTTTTGCAATCGTGAGCCCACGGTCCCAGCCTTCCGCACCCCTCGCACCCCTCGCACCCCTCGCTCAGGCAGCCAGTCGGCGCTTCCGGGACTCAGAAGACGCTAGACCCACGAGTGGCCGCCGGGGCTCAGGGCCTCGCTACTGCCCGGCGGGCGGTGGAGCTCCAAGGCTGTTTTTTTGCAGGCTCGGCATTCGTGAGCTCTCCCGCCGGGAGCCGGAGGGCGGGAGGGAGCCATGACCCCACGGAGACTCCCCAGTCACCGCCTCCCCTTTGTGAGCGCGAAAGGCATGAAAGCCCAGAGAAAGAGAAGCTGCACAGAATAAGGGGCAGGGGGTTACTGGAGGGAGATGGGCCCAGCCACCGCTCACAGTAGAAGGCCTCGTGCAAATTGCACTGAAGGGTACCCAACTTGAGACTGGCTGTTTTATGATCCTTTCTGAGAGTTTACTGCGCCATGCTTTTAAGTCTGTAGATTGCTTTAAGTTAATGAAAGTGCTGCTTTCAAAAGGGGCTTTTATGTGCTGTGGTGGCAAGGCCAGTACCTCCCCTTTACTCTTCCAAAATAGGTCTGTTTAAAAAGAAGGAGGCTCCTGGAGTTCCCACATGGACAGAGCTTGGGGGAGGACGCCATGTGACAATGAGGACTAATAAAAAATCAATGTCCAAGTAATTCAGAAAGAGGAGTTTACTTCTTTCCCAGTCCAGGGTCACCTGTGCCGTCTGATACTGCCTTTTGGGCTTCCACTGAGTCTGACTTTAAGTGCCCCTTACACCCTGTCTCAGCACAGCTTTATGTAGGCCTGACCCTGTTCAATTGAACTCCAACTGGATTTCAGGATTTCAACCGGCGGCCAATTCAAGCTGCAACTAAAATATTTACTTGTGGCTGGGGGGGAGGGGCTTTGCCTTGCCTTTAGTAAGACAGATGTGTTAAAACGTCAGGGAGAAAGGCTGGGAACATTGAGAAGAAACATGGAAGGCTATTTTTCAGCGCTTCCCCCTTTTTCAATCTCTTTGGCACAAAAGGTGAGAGGACAAGGTTTTTGACTAGGTCCTAACACAGAAACTGCAGTGGGGCTGGGCTGTGGCTTTGACCGCATGTCATAACCATTTAAACTGTGGTTAGTTGTTCAAAGCTCAAAGCTTCTCCAAGCTGGGTTTCATTAACTCTACACCAGTTGCCTGGAAGTTCAGTAGCAATAAATTGTATAAACACATTTGAAGTAAGTTAGTGATGAAATAAGGAGAATTACTGTCTTGTGAGTGGAGAATCCTGAATTCATGGAGTTTTAACTTAACTGGAAACACACCTCCTCTCCCTTGGCCTTGATGTTTATGGGTGCACCAGAGTGTGTGTTAAATTTCTGTCTGCCATGTCCATCTTCAACCTGGGACTGTAACTCATTAGGGACCAAGGCATGCCTAGAAAGCAAAAGGCTGGGCTTTAAAGGGGACTCCATTAGCCTGGTTTAGAAACCAAACCAAACCCATCAAGCTGACTTCCTTACCCTGGGAGAATGCGACATAAACAGCCGCAGAGCAGGCCAAATTAGATTTTTAAACGTTAGCGGCTTAATAATACTGTGTTGTTAGCAATTGAATTTGTTTTTATTAAAGAAACAACCTATAAAATTTATAGGATTCCAACATGTTGCAAGATTTCCTTGCTATTTATTTAGTGCCCCCCCCCGAAATTCTATCTCCAATTTCAGACTTTTGTTCCTGATTTATTTAATTTAAAGCACATTTTCTAAATTAGTTCGGGGAAGGTGAGAAATGCTGTTATAAGTTTTCCTTTTTCTGATGCTGTGTGGCACAAGGACTGCAATGCTGCCAGATATATATAAATGTGTGATGCAATTGCGCGCGGAGCCAAGTGTCTGGATCACACGAGATGCAGATCGGAGTACGGAGAGGGCGAAGCAATGCCACGGAGGAAAAGCAGAGGAAGTTATACGGAAAATGAAATCATCGTGAGCCACCGGCAGCCTTGGTTCTAGCCAACACACCATGCTTTGTATAAAAACACTTCACATGCGATCTGTGACTTCTTGAAGATTGAATTATATTGAGAAGCAGAATTCAGAGGGAGTAGCTGCCCTGGCTGGGTTCTGGCCAGGCTGCATGGCCAGGCTTGTTGCGATGGGGATCTGCTAATTTAATTAAATCTAATACCTGGTGG